ACCAGGCTCTGCCTTTGACTGCACCTCAGGCTCTTTGCTTTCCTGCACCTCCTGCGCAGATTTTGGAGCCTCTTCTTCCTTAAGTGCTGGCAAAGATTCTTCTTCTGGGCGGACTCCGGAGGAAGCTGGGTTGCTCCATGCCTCTTCCTCGGCTGAGGAATAGTCAGCCTCGGCTGAGTCAGGACCCATTACACTATCTCTGGATCTACATGTCTATGTCTCAGTGGGAAAGAAAACCAAGCTCACTTGTGAGAGTTCCGTACCAGCATGGACCCAAAGTTCTGAGAGCCAGCCGTTATTCCCAGTTCTGAGGGCCAGACCCTCTCCTGTATGAAGAAATCCAGCTTTTTCTCAGGGTCCTCCACATTTACAACTACAGTCACAGTGGCCAGTGCCAGCCCACAGCTTTTTGAACAGACCTAAGAACAAAATCTCATATTTTTCTCTCTCTCTCTCTCTCTCTCTCTCTTTTTGGAAAATGTTTTCTTTTTGGATATCTTTGTCATTTTTCATCAACGTTCTTCAGCATGTCACCCAATCTGCATAACTAGAAGACTTTGTATAATAACGAGCCCCATATTGCCCGGACTTAGTGGCACCTCTCATTCTTCAGCCCTTTTCACTGAACCTCACTGCTACTGGCCTTTTCACCTCAAAGGGGGATGACAGCTGTTTTTTTTCTACTCTTCGCTGAGGTCTTTCTGTCAAAAAAGCTTCACGGCTCCAGCCATGCAGGACCAACACTAATCCTTCTCAGCTTCTTCTCGACTGCCGCACCCAATCCTGAATTTGCCAACCTGCAGACCCCATTTTTGCCGGATGCCCCTACTGGTCCCATCTCATATCCACCCATCCATTCCTCCAATGCTCCTTGGCTGGAAGTCATTGCCTCTGTCTCCACAACCCTGCTGACTCACGACCAATCATTCATGAACAGCTGCAAATGCTTCTCCGCAGTTCTCCAGATGCAGTCTTGGAATACCAGAAGGGGTTGCCATGTATCCCATTTATCTTGAACACATGGGGGGGAGTGACTTCAAGATGCTTCTGCATACTGTGCATCCAAGCACAAATTGTTTGTGCTACCATTCCTTCTGTACTCTTGGGATTGTCAAAACCTCCTTTTTTGCACAAATTGCCTTTGTATATAGTTATGTTTGCTTATAATTTCCATGTGTATACCTTTTATGAATTCATTGTTTTATTTAAGTTTTAAATAATTTATTTGTTCCATTCATTTGCTTTATCATTTATGTAGCTCATTTGCTTCATTATTTAGTTAAATTGCTTCAGTTAATGCATTTCACTATTCAGTTATTTTACTTTGCATTTAATTTGATCTTGTACATAGGGAACCCTTCTCCCTTCATTGCCCTAGTTCACGGGAAAGCAGCTTAGATTCAGGAAAGAAAAAGATTTTTGGTTTTTAATCTGGCTCATTTTAGTTTTTGCCCAAATGCTTATTTTTGTAGTTGATGACCCTGTTCCTCTTTCTCCATCCCTATCCTCCTTGTTCCCTTCTCCTCTTCTCCCTTCCTTTCTTCGGACCTCCATCCTATTTGCCTCTCCATTCAAGTAAACAAAGTTATATACCTAAATCAAATTTCCTTCATTGGGGGGAAGTTGTTAGCAGTCAGACCGCTCCTCCCGCTGAGAGACCATTTCTAGCTAGAATAACCATAAACACCCTTCTTAAAATATCATCTCAAAAATCATAAGTGCAAGACACAGCCTGGCCCTAAGTGACACAAAATGGATGCTTGTCAGAAACTAGCCTGGGCATGGACTTCTGGTTTATGGTGACACGCTAGCGGACGCATCTCCCGGACCTCCCAGGGAAGCGATTTGCGCGCCGGTGGTTGGGAGGGGGGCGATTGTTCACCACCACCACCCCAGAGCCTTTGTGAAAGGCTCCTAGCCATGGGGCTTCTGAAGGGTGGCCTCTTCGCCAGCGTGTTGCTGTGGAATTGAGGCGCTCTTCCACACTGCTGTGCTCATAATGGAACCAGAGCCGCTGACTAGGACAAGCGTTGGAGATCAGGCATATAAAATGTACCTTGAGTGAGGTCTCCAGACCACCAATGAACAGTGCATCGAGTAAAAGGGAAATGCTGGGAATTTAAAAGAAAGCCCCCCTGGGAACAACAGGACGAGCGAGGGAGGGAGGGGCCCCTCCCATACGCATAAATAAAACAGCAATTTGCCAAGGGGGAGCTGAAGTTTAAGCGTTGAAATCTGTTTTAAGAAATCAACCAGAGCACCAATAAGCGTTTGGGCGAATTTCAGAGACTTTAGCAAGTACTTTAAAAAGTTAACAATCCACAAACATGGCGTGGAAAAACCCAGAGAAAGACAAACAAGCAAAAGTGAAACCACTGGGGAGCATGAGCCCACGACCGGAAGATACCACTGAGTTTTCTAAACTGTTAGCGGACTCTTTGTGCTTTCTACTGGACCAGATGATGAATATCAATCAACAACTGAAAGTTTTAAACCAGAACTTTGCAGCTCAGCAGGTCCAATTGACTGAGACTACAAAAAAGACGGAGCAAACAGCTGAGAAAGTGAAGGAACTGGATGCCAACTCTAAAAAGGTTAAGAAAAAGGTCCAAAAGCTGGAAAAGAAGCAAGCTTCAGACAAACTTCAACTTTTGCAGCTACAAATGGAGAAAGCTAACTTAATCCTCCAGTTCCAAGGGGTTCCAGAAGCAAAAGAAGAGAATCTAAAGCAACTTTTGAGTGATGCACTAGCTCCAGTTACAGATTTAAAAGCGGAATACCTTGTAAGAGAAATAGATGTGGTTTATAGAGCCTATTCCATTTATATCAAGAAAAATAATCTGCCTGGAGTGATAGTGGTTAGATTCTCAAAGAGACATGTGAGGTATCAAATCCTGAAAGCAACTACAGGAACACCCTTGAAAAATTGGAGGCAACACCATCAGGATTCTAAAAGACATTCCATTTGAAATAAGGAAGAAGAGGAAGAAGTATAAAGACTCGATTCCTTTTTTTGCAAACAAGCAGCATTCCCTACAAATGGTTGACCCCCAAAGGCATCATTTTCAAACTGCAGGATAAAAAAAAGAAAAAATTGACTCTTTCCAAAGCACGTGAGTTCCTGAGACTGCAACTGGGAGAGTCAGGAGAGGACAGCAAGGACAAAGAAGACAGCAAACCTAGTGATGAAATGGACTCCGCTACTTCCGATGAGGACTCTACTTCAGAAAAGGGGGTGGCAGCCCCCAAAAGAGAATACCAATTGAGGATTAGAAAAGACAAAACAAAATGAAGGCTGAAGAACTCTGATCTGTGCCTTGAAGGTTTTTTTACAATGCTCTTGTAATTTTCTTTAAACAGTTAAAATAACAGTTTTAAAGATAAATAAAATAGCTTAATTGACCATGTTCAATGTAATCTTAGCATTTTAGACTAACACTGATACAAGCTTTTTAAATGATTTCCTATACTTGGGTTTTTAGTGGTTTTCTTTCCTTTCTCCCATAGATGTAGTTTCCCCTCCCCTTTTTTCGTTGTAGTTTATAGAAAAATGCAATAAAAAATCCCCTATGGGGGGACAAAAAAACAAAAGAAACTAGCCTGGGCATGTAGTTTAGAGTGAGTAACAACAGCTGACTGTCCACTGTCCCCTTCACACCCTGGGAAGATGCATAATTTAGGACACTGAGTCTCCCAAAACCTATTGACTCACCCTTGGAGTAATCCCATCAAGTCCAACCTTACTTCCTCTGCACCCACATACCCTAATTAAGCATCACTTAATTCTGTTAATCTAAACCATTAGAACTTCCTGCTAGGTACTTGTAGTGTCTTCAGATCTTTCACACATCATTGTCCACCCCGGGAAAACCCATTGTTCTTGTTTTTTTCTGGCAAATATGTCATACCCACCAGAGGGTATATTTTGCCCTATATCAGAAGCACTCTGCTTCCCAGCAGTATGTGTGCGTGCTTTGGATCCTCCACATGCACCCCCACTTTTCTGGGCTCTCTCTCCTTTCACAAAATGCTGGTCATTTTGCTGCTTCCGTGGATGTCTCCTTGACACTTGTAATTATCACCCCTAAGATCTCTCCCCTTCGTGTGTTTCTTTTAGCTAGCTCTGTGTGTGTTTATTGCATACTTTTTGTTTAATTATTTCTCTTTTTAATAAAAAAACCCATTCCAGTTGAATATCTGTCTGGGTTTTTTTAGTTCTCTTAAGGGAAAAATCCCCATATTCATAGATGGAGAATACCAGTTCCCCCCCCCTCAATCTCCTTAAAGCTAATCCCCCCAACTAATTAGGAGGTCACTTGTTTGGGTAACACCAGGACAAACTGTGGTTTATTGGAAACCTAAAAACTTTAGTAAAGTGACATACAAGGGAAAGCTTGCAAGGAGTAAGTGTGAGAACCCAAAGACTTCAGAGGCTCATTCTTGTAATGAAGATACCCATGGTCTGTGTTCATATCCCTGTTCATGGGGAAATTACATTTTGTATTTATATATCACATGTATATCTGTGCACTTGTTTGTGTGTATATGGATGTTATTCTCAACTAAGCTGCAGTGTGGCTCACATGGAAACTGAAATACAAATGACCAGTTAGCTTCTAATTTTATGTGGTGATTTAATACACAAATGTGCTTAATCCCCAGTTTTCAAATAGCATTCATTTTAAGTTTGTATTGTTCAAATGAGGGGTCACAAGATCTTCTAGAAGCATATAGAAATAGTTATGTCAATATTTTACTTCATTATTGAAATATAATCGGATGACAGCTAAATGTGATCCTGATGAAGAATAATTTTTTACTCTTCCAGCAGAAGTGTTGCAATGCTTTGTACTGCTTTTCTTGTACTTGAGCAGTTGGTGTAGCAAGATTACATGTGTAATCATCAATGTGTTAAATGACCTTAAGTGAAAAGTATGCTTTGCACTTCCAGATGCTGCTTAAAAGTAATTGTGTTTTTATCCCCCCTCCCTTCTTTACAGCCGCCAATGTCCATTCAGTCTATTGTGGTCCAAGTCCAGTGCATTAACAGAAAAGTAGGAACAATTATCTACCATGAAGTACGGATTGTGGTGAGGGACAGAAATGATAACTCTCCCCAGTTCCAGCAGCAGCAGTACTATGTAGCAGTAAATGAGGTCAGCTTCGAATTTACTTATTACTCTCCTCTCACTTTTCCTGCTCTTTTTGTGTTGAAGTGTCTTTCTTCTTGTAGGACTAATATGCTGAAGGTTTATTTGCTTCTGTTTTGTACATTGAGTTTGAACTTTCTGTGTGCTTGGTGTAACATCTTGTCTTGAGCTGAATCACTTAAGCATGTTTGTAATTAATTACACAAATAGACAATACCTAGCCAGCACAGTAATCTCCTAAAAATGAATGTGTGTATGTGAGAGGGGGGGAGAGAGAGAGAGAGAGAGAGAGAGAGAAATTGGTTTAGCATGCTGCCATGAGATTAAAAAAAACAACAAACACACACAACCCCAAACACTAAAAGGGAACAAGGCATTATTTTGCCATTAATTAAAAAAAGCAGAATAACAAAAATCAAATATGCTATGAGCAACCATAATTTATAGATTAGTACGAGATTATCTCCTTAGCAACAAACTTAATTTTTTGGGGGGATGGACATTAAAAAAAACGAGTTTATTTCCTTGGTGTACTGTCTTTTACATTTAACAATAATTCCATGTTATGCTGTATCAAGAAGCTCAAGATAGAGTCTATCAGTTTCTTTCATTGCAACAGCAAAAAAGCAAATACAAGCAAAGTCTTCATGGTCAGCATCTGCACAGCTTCTACCTTTGTACTGTACTTTCACAGACTACCTTTCTGATAACGAGGGCAGTGTAGAAAATATAGATGCATAGAAATACATTCTTAAATTTAGTTGAGTTTAAGGGTAAAACTAGATATTACTTTGGGGATCCATGGTTAGATTTCCCAAGATATGAGAGGCAGGGCTGTGGCACAGTGGCACAGTCGGCACTTGGCTTCTCTCCTGGGTAGGGCCAGCGCTTTGGTCTTTTTAGTGGAGTTTTCGGGGGATCCCGAACTCCATTGGACCTCCTGGATGGAGCTCCAGCGCAAGGGATTCAGCCCCCCCGCCAGTGGCAGCAAGTGGGAGGAGGCCCTGGATCATCCCTGAAGCAGAGAATGAAGCAGCGCAGTCATGGCAGCCATGACTGCACCAGCTCTGAACTCCCCGACAAGAGAGTAATTTTGAGCCTCATCAATAACATCAATGAAGATCTTCACTGTGAGTACTTGTAAAAGCAACACTGAAAAATTTAACAACCCTTTAATCATGCCCCTTTAAATTTTTTAAAAGAGAAGGAAAGAAGAGGTGGAAATTTCCCCCCTTCTTTCCTCTGCTAAGTGGCTAGAAGGAGACTGTAAACTTTCTTGGGGGCAAAGAGGACACAAAGTCTGTTGTTTAAACTTCTAATATTTCTGCCTGGGATAAAAATTTGAACAACTCTTGAGCTTTTTCTGCTGTTTCTTGGACTTCACCTGTTAACTTTCTTCCCTGTTTCATCTGGATTTAAATGATTTACTGGAATTATATATGGATTCTTTAAAGAAAAATGACTAAATAACCTTCAGGGCCATAAACTTTTTTCGGAAAAGAAAGAAAGAGACATTTAAAACTTAACTTTCTACTCTGTAACAGTCCATTATTACATTAGCTCTGTTGTTGAAACCAAAAAAGGTTCACGCTGTTTAGATTCCATTGTATAACTACAAGATACATGACTCATGTTGAAAGATTCTTGGTTGTTAATATGTCTTCTGCAGGTACTATTTTGTAAATATTTTCAACCTTGCAGGAACTAGTGAAAAAAATTGTAGAGACTTTTGGTTTGCTGGGCTGAATTACTGCTTTCGATACTGTATTAAAATGAGTGTACAAGACACATATAAGAAAATGCCAGATGACATATATCTTGATAGCTCTGTTGATGTTAACTTGACGCAGGTTTCTTGGGAGGAGCTTAAATGTATAATTGTTGATACAGTCAATCTGGCACTTGAAGAGATCTTTGAGGCTTTTAATCTAAGACAAGACAAAGGGATAACTGCACCAACACAAACTGCAATTAAGATGGAAAAATCCCAATATCAAACTGGCCAAGACACATATCAAGACTACAAGTAAATGGATGCATGTTGCAGAATGACCCAAACCTATATAGAAGAGCATAACAGATCAACCAAATGATAGACAAATGGTGAAATCTTCCAAGCTGTAAAGGAAAAAAATACCCCAGAGAGGAGACAAAAAAGATCTTTTGGATTTTGTGGAATTTTCAACTACTTCAAGAATTGAATACAGATTTTGTTGTTCAGTCGCACAGTCGAGTCCGATGCTTTGCGACCCCATGGACCACATCATGCCAGGCCTTCCTGTCTTCCGCCATCCTCTGATGTTTGCTCAATTTCATGTTTATTGCATCGATGACACTGTCTAACCATCTCATCCTTTGCCATCCCCGTCTTCTTTGACCTTCAATCTTTCCCAGCATCAGGGTCTTCTCCAGTGAGTGCTCCCTTCTCATTTGGTGGCCAAAGTATTTGAGCTTCAGTTTCATTATCTGGCCTTCCAGGGAACAGTCAGGGTTGATTTCTTTTAGGATTGACTGATTTGATCTCCTTGCAGTCCAAGGGACTCTCAAGAGTCTTCTCCAGCACCATAGTTCAAAAGAATCTATTCTTCGGCGCTCGGCCTTCCTTATAGTCCAACTCTTGCAGCCATACATGACTACTGGGAATACCATTGCTTTGACCATGCGGACTTTTGTTGGCAGGGTGATGTCTTTACTTTTTATCATGCTGTTTAGGTTCGCCATCGCTTTCCTCCCAAGAGGCAGGCGTCTTTTAATCCCAGGAATGTGAAGTCTGTCACTACTTCCATGACTTCCCCTTCTATTTGCCAAGGAGTGATGGGGCCGGTTGCCATGATTTTAGTTTTTTTTGATGTTGGGCTTAAAGCCCACTTTTGCGCTCTCCTCTTTCACTCTGAGGTCCTCTTCACTTTCTGCCATTAGAGTGGTATCGTCTGCATATCTGAGGTTGTTGATCTTTTCCCCAGCAATCTTAATTCCTGTTTGTGATTCATCCAGGCCAGCAATTCGCATGATGTACTCTGCATATATATTAAATAAGCATGGTGACAATATACATCCTTGTCATACTCCTTTTCCTATGCTAAACCAATCAGTTGTTCCATATCCGGTTCTAACTGTTGTTTCTTGACCCTTATACAGGTTTCTCAAGAGACATGTGAGGTGGTCTGGTACTCCCATCTCTTTAAGGACCTGCCATAGTTTGTTGTGATCCACACAGTCAAAGGCTTTAGTATAGTCAATGAAGCAAAAGTAGATGTTTTTCTGGTACTCTCTTGCTTTCTCCATAATCCAGCGAATGTTGGCAATTTGATCTCTAGTTCCTCTACCTCTTCGAAACCCAGCTTGTACTTCTGGCAGTTCTCTTACAAAGACAAGAGACACAAAATTAAGACTCTATTGACAAGAAAGAATCATAAAAAGAAGAAGAGAATAAAGTTTTATAAATAAGAGTGGGTTAGGGAACTGTCTTGTATGTGCAACAGGTCAAGAGTGAGCAGGGAATATTTAAGTTTACTTTTTGAAGTATTCATAAAATCTTAGGGAAATAGTATGTATGTATAATGGGCTATAGTTGAATTTGTTCTTATACATTCACAAAGGGTGCGGTCACATGGTCCTTTTGATCGGGGTTCGCCGCTGTTCCCTCTCACATTTAATTTTTCTGTTCACATTTGCCAATTTGCCTCCCATGCCGAAGCAGGCTCACTCCTGCAATGGTTTCGGGTTTTCCTGCCCTCGGGAAAATCAAGTATTTTCCTAGTACTTGCACTTTGAATGCGCGATTTCACCCATCTGGACTGCCATCTTTCACAATTATTGCAATTAGGGCTGTCTGACCGCTCTTTGTGTGATTTTTTTTTAACTTTCTGGCTTTGAGCGCTTGAGCAAACAAGCGCTCTTCCTCCTTGGAGGAAAGTCCTGCCCACCCCAGGAGTGAGGCTCCGGTGGGCAGCAGGAAGCAGAAGTTGCGGGGGGGGTGGAGGGGGGAAAGTGCCGGAAAGTGCCGGGCTGGCTTTCGGGCTTGCAGGCAAGCAGGTGGCGGACCCGATGAGGCGAGCTGAGCGCAGCAAACCTCTCGGCTGGGTAATTAGATCGGGGCTATGAAATTAGATGGGGGGGGTGATGGACAGGAAGCGGCCCTACCCCTGAAGGGAAAAACAGCCACTCAGCTGAGCCTATGGGAGTGCTGCTCCAGTATCCAATCACCTTTCAGGGAGGGGGTGGATTGCTGGAAGGAAGCACAGCAGGAGTGCTGATCTGTCTCAGGCAGAGTGGCAGCGGTAGTTTTGGGTCTTCCTCAGCAAAAGAGCAGAGTTAGAAGGGTAGCTCTGACTGGTAGCATGTCAGAGTGGTTTAACTCTACCTCAGGAAGAGGCCAGAGTTACCCTGTTATTAGGCCTGTCTCTGGTAATGAGCAGACCTTGTACCATTTAGGGGCAGGGTGATGTGGGTGGGAACCTGTGTGTGAGAGGACCCAATCTAGTGGCTAGTCAGTAAAAGCCTGTTTGTACCTGAAAGCATTAAAGAAAATTCAAACCACACTCTGAAGCCATAACTAGCATAAATTTATATGCCTCAGCCCAGGTTTCTCTTTGGTCTACTTGGAGACCTCTGCTGCTGATCTGTTCTTCGAAACCAACTTGTAAATAAATCTTTGTTATTTGTATATGACTCCTGCCCCATTGACCTCTATCTTATATTTGCTTACCACAAATCTTACCTCAAGGTAGCCAACTCAATGCCTTTACACTTGCTACCTTAAGAACTGAGGGGGAAGGTTTATAGTTTAAATCAAACCTGGTTCCACAAAATTGTAAGAGGCGCGAAAGAGACACGGGAGGGAGAAATGGGGGGGGGGACGCCAGGCGTCTCTGCTTCTTGCGCCGCACGAGTGCTTTGTTGCCCTCCGTCCCCCGGGTGCAGCTTGGATCTGTGGAAGTCTGGAAGCTGCGCGCGTGTGCGAATAGGTAACATAAAGAGGAGAAGCCACTGGTAGTTAATGTATA